AAAAGAGCTGTCTTTTGCTTCTTGTTGAAGGATTATTTCTGGTTGGTTTGAACATTAGCCCAACGGTCCAAGTTACCTTCTCCAATAGCCACAGACCCCCTGGTGTTTGCAGACACGTGAAGGTTGGTGACACAGCTTTTCTAACGTGTTTGTGTGTGTCACCTGGGAGGTGGGACATCCTCTAACATGATTTTGGGGTGATTTCAGTGGTTGCAACAAGGATCCTTAAGAGACGGGACCAGCCATCAGCTGTAGAAGATTTTCATTGTGGGAAATGAAAGGAGCCTGGAGCATCTCCCTGATGAGGAAAGGCTGAGGGACTTGGGGCTTTTGAGTGTGGAGAAAAGAAGACTCAGGGGGGACCTGATCAAGGCCTATAAAGACTTCAAGGGTAAGTAGGATGGGGCCAGTCTTTTTTCAGTGGACAGGACACAAACTTGAGCATCAGAAGTTCCATCACAACATGAGGAGGAACTTCTTCACTTTGAGGGTGGCAGAGCCCTGGCAGAGGCTGCCCAGAGAGGTGGTGGAGTCTCCTTCTCTGGAGACATTCAACCCCCACCCGGAGATGTTCCTGTGGGAACTGCTCTGGCAGGGGGTTGGCGTAGATGATCTCCAGAGGTCCCTTCCAACCTCATGTGATTCTGTGAAAACACTTCTAAGCCATTGCCCAGGGTTGGGCCAGGGGAAATGTCACTGGTGGAACCCCAGGAGCCTGGCAGCCTGGGACATTTGGCACCTCTGGTCTCCTGGGTGCTGCCATGGGAGCGCAGGGTGATTCACTCCCAGGCAGCAGACGAATGACTCACGGTTTTACTGAAACCAATGGGCTTGTCAGAGCCAGAACGTAGTCTGACATCCTTATCTACAAACCCTAACGTTAAATCTGTGGTTAAATACCTTCTTTCTGGGGTTTAGGCACGGAAAGTATTTCAAAAGCCATCAATAAAAGGCTGTTTATGCCTGAGGAGCTTTGCTTGAAAGAACTTCTGTTCTCCTTTATGATTGATACATCTTCACTTTAAGGCTTCCTCGCTGTTTCCCATGGATGCTGCCTTCAGACAAGTTCCTCGGGGAGCGGAGGGTGAGACGTGTGGGGCAAAGCCACGTTGGGAGGAGGCACGGCCACGGGACACATGGAAGAGCCAGCTGTTTGCCATGGTCAGGAGAAAGGTGAGTCAGGGCCAAACTGGTTCTCAAAGTGGGACATGTCACCTCGAATTGATCAGCAGCCTTCCCGCCAGGGAAATCCTTAACGCCGCCGCTAATTGAGACGTGGGACGTGGTGGCAGCAGCTCGTAGGTCTTTGCTGGCACACCCCTGGCAGAGCCAGCTGAGTCACTGGTGGCATTTTCAACCTGGGCTCTTTCACAGCTCCTTCAATCAAGGTCTGGGGTGAACCTCACCCAAATTTGCAAATCAGCTTAATGCTTTGCTCAGCAAAACACCCAGCTGAAGTTTTGAGGAGAAAACCTACAGCCACGTGTTAACTTCTCCACTCTCTTCTTCATGAGTCGGTGGACGTAGCTGTGGTTTTCTGGGAGTAAAAATTAGATATTTGAGTAATAACATGAACTGGCCGCCTGATCGACCAGGCTCTTGGAGCTGAAAGAGCTCCCACCCGTGTGCTGAGCTCCCGTAAAACCCTCCGGGGGTTGCGATAGCTGGATCAAAACAAGCCACCATGGCAAGGAGGAATGAGGATCACAAACTGCCAACCTTAATTACCAGTGTTCGTTAGCCTCTGCTGCCACGTGGGCGTTACACGGGTTAGTCCCTGAGTCCAAACTGTCCAGAGATCAAAACGGAGCCAGGGGTTGATGGGGAGGTTTAGGAGGAGCTTGGTTTTGCGTGGTGGGTCTTGAGAGCGCTCCCACACACCACCATGGGCTTCTGGTACCACTGAGGTGGCCCTCTGTGGGCACCTGGAGGGGTGGTCAGCTTAGTCAATACCACGGGCTTCTGGTACCACTGAGGTGGCCCTCCGTGGGCACCTGGAGGGGGGGTCAGCTTAGTCAATACCTCATAGATCATCTCCCAGGGTGTTCCCCATCAAAAGAGCTACCCCAACACCACCCTACATCAATTTCTTCTTCACACTCATGCTTCAAAGTGTTAAATCCTAAATTCTCAGCAATTTCCCATGGCAGTTTGCAAGCAATTCTAGACCTGGCTTCAAAGATAAATCAAGTTGGGTTTTGCCTCACCTTTCTCAAGCAATAAATGCCAACAAAGCCACCACCACCCCACCTCCCCTCCAGATTCAGCCTCTCTGGGCGGTAGCTGGAACTCTCCGAGAAGGTTGTTGGCCCCAGGAATGTGCTAAAGATTAACCAGCAGCAGTGGTTAATCTTGGTGTTTAAATGGCCCTGATGATAACGAAGAAAAAAGCCACCTCCTGGGCTCCCCAGTTTGCAGATTTCAGAGGACAAAACAACCCGGGAGGGAGGAGGAGCTGGAAGCAGGGGCAGAAGAAGGTAGGCGATGGTGGGGACCTTGGAGTTTGCTCGGTGGCCAGGGCTGGGACCGACTTTGCCCTGGAGGTTCCTCGGGGAGGGAGGTGACAAAGGGGTGGCAGGTCCCAGGCAGAAGGAAAAAAACAGCAATACTTCCCAGCCATTTCTAATTAATAAGAAAAACCTCTCCCTCTCCAACGCTTCCTGGCGTCAAGCTTGTTTCTCGCTCAGAACTGAGCTTTAAATCCATGGAGGTGCTGGGGGGGGACAGCAGAAGGGTACCCCGCCTGGGATGTGTAGGGGGGGGACACATGTTGGGGGACATAGAGATGGGGGGCATTTGATTTGG